TTTCATCCATTTTGCATCCTAATTTTGCTGTAGTTGGAAGCCGCGGGACCAGCTCAACGGATTTTAACTTCACCTGTGCCTCCCAAAACCAGTCCCTCAGCCCGAGCGGCAAATAAGAAGCCATCCAACAGGCGGCAAAGATGATCGACTTCGCCCCAGGCTTCGCGAGGACCTCCGAACGGAATCAGCAGAGCATCCATTGGGACAATGGCAAGTCATCCGCACCCCCAAAAGATGAAGCATCGGAACATACATGGGGTTCGGGTTCTAGAAAGCACCCTCAAAGGGTGCTGCTGGATTGGTTATAACCATTTATAACCTCTTTTGAAGGGTCAATTTTTAGGTCAGCTCTGGAGATCGCTGGCTTACTTGCATGACACCAGCACGAAGACCCAGCACCGCGAGTCGTGTCTTGTGGAACTGGGAACCTCCCAGTTTCGAAGCAAAGGGGGCCCAACGGTTTTGTTGGAAAGAACATATTCCACAAGACCATTCATGTAAGTCTATCTATCCTATCTATCCTAACATATCCTAACCCCATAGGATGATGACGGTTCAGTTGCAGGCCGACAGTTCAAAAATAGTGACATAGAATTGTTATATTAATTGTTTGCTGATGTTTAATTGCTGAATATTACTGACTTACAGGTAAGTTCGGACAGACCCAAACTCATTCACCACATCGAAATTATATACGGCCTGGCCCAGTCCGAAGAAAGAAGATGGTAATCTCAGAAAGAGGGTATTGACTCATTGACTCATTGACCTCGCGCTGACGCACGTCCTAAAGCGAAAACGTGTTTGATTGGAAGCATTAAATGGGCTGAAGAAAAGATCTGCCGCTCTGCGTTTCCGGTCCAAACCATTCATATATATGCCCTGGTCAGCCCAAATACCGTTCATTGACAGGAGAGTCCACACAAACTCCAAATGACAACTGTGGAGTCCCTTCCCCGCCAAGCAACACCAAATGGTTGTCCCAGTCCAATCATTTCGCGCAATTCGATGCATAAAATATCTACAAAGGCTGTCTGGAAAATTCCTAAGGCACCCCACAAAGTATAAACATCAATAGTCAATAGTTCCCTAGATTGACTTCAACATGCAATATGTTCCCAGGACTGCAAGTTTCTAGCAGTGGGCCAAGGTCATGCAGGAGCTGTTACGTAATCTGTTTCTGGGAGAATCAGAATTGCCTTCTGCACCCTGGTCAACAAAAGTCAGTTCTGTTCGAGCCGTGATCTGGTTCCAGGTCTTGACGTGGACGTGGAACGGGACTGGCCCTTTTCTTTCGGTCATCGCGGCATCTCCCCCAGTTTCGAATCGATTCGAATCGTAGGCATAGGTGTGGAAACATATTGACCACCCAGACGCTGTTCACAGCCCGACAGGGTCCCTCAAAACGGGATTGGTTCGGGTCTGGACCCCTGACCCGTCCCGATTCGGGTCCGACCCCTGCATAGGTTCGGGGCCGAGTTCGGGTCGGGGTAGTGGGCAGCGTGTCTGAGATTGCGTGGAGGTTTTTTCTGTGATGTTCAGCTCGGAGGTTCTCTCGTGCTCGGTTCCCAGTGGATTTGATGGAGTTGGAACTCGATGGAACCGGCTGATGGAAACACACACTTTTGGGGGAAGAAGGATGTAGGGAAGGGTCAGAAAGTGCAGAAGGAAGCTCCTCTCGAATTACCTTGCTATGATCCGTTTATCATACCAAAACTTACCAAGATCTGTGGTGATATGTGTCCAAAGAAGCACTCCACTTCGTTGGTCACGATGTGGACTTCCCACGATCTTGTGAAAAGCAGCCCCTGCTGGCTGCACGAGGGCATGTTCCATGAGAAATCCACTCCAACCCGAGGTCCCGCCTCGCAAAGAATACCCAAACCACCGAGCAAACCCAGGTGAGAAAAGCAACGCGCCAGCCACTTGTAGTTCCTCTGACGCAGCTTCAGCATTTCCTCCTCTACTCGCGTTTCCTTTAAGACATTCACCTGAGCTGTCCGGGTTTGGTCCCAAGTCTGTCCTCTTGGCTCGTAGCTTAGATCGTGGAGTTCGCATCCAAACATGAACTTGGAACCAGTTTGGGCCCCTATCATGAAACAGCTACAGCATGCTACAGCTGCCCTATTCATAGGGTCCAAACCAATGAGTCAGCTATCCTAGAGGGAGTTCTTTTTGGGAAACTCGGAGGGCTCAGCTTCCATGAGTTGCTTGGTCGAACCGCCTGCTCAGTTGGCCTCATTTTGTTGGAGGAAAATGTCCGGGTTCGATCCAAAGCAGTGGATTTCAGTGGCTGATGCTTCTTGATGGATCTAACTTATGTTCATAGTGTTAATTTTCTATGTTTTTCGTGTGGTTTGATGTCATCATTAATCCATTGCTTCCCCTAGCCCCTACCATACGTATAGCAGAGACCTCAAAGAGGTGCTCACAAAGACTGCTGCAACTAGATGACACCAGCACACTGGGAATCACCACACCAGTGGCCCTATGAATACAGGATTCTTCTTTCACATCCGGACAATGATTTGTTTTCAACAGTCCAACTGGTCATGTTGGCAGAAGCAAAGCATGGCAGAAGCGAGGTTGGATCAAAACAAGCAAACAAAAACACCACGTTCCTTAGGGTTTTGGACCGAAGAGAAAAAGCATGTAGCATCATGTAGCTGTTTGCCTCGGACTCGGAGGGAGCGGGTCGCCTAGAGGACTGGACCAGTACATCTGACTGGCGAAATGGTCCACTGAACTGCAGGACATCCCGCCACAAAAAACCATCTCGTTGGACGCATCAGACTGGTTTTGTTGGACAAACCTCAAGAGGCATCATCTGATATTGCTGGCATAAGCACAAATCGCTTCAACGTCACCGATTTCGACGTATACTACGTGGTCCAATATCCCAGAAAATGCCAGTAGTTTCAGAGTAGATGGACTCCCATATAAAGGATATCTTGGGGTGCCAGTGCCATTGAACCTCTGAAACTACTGTACAAACAATGTATCCCAAGTAGTGCTAAGATCCCAGATGTCAACTCTCCCGGCGTCGGTGGGCAAACTTGGCCGACCACCACTTCGCTCGTTCACCACCACTTCACCGGCAGCGACCCTTCACTCACTCGCCCGACCACTCGCCTGACCACTCGCCCGTGGGGGTCCGGCGATCCAGCGACGGAGGTCCGGAAGATCTCTGCGGGTGAAGTAGAAGTGCAGAAAAAACCAGAGAAGCAGCAAGCTCCAAGTCATCAGCGTGATCTCCATGGCCAAGATGCTTTGTGTGTTTGTGTTGAAACACGAAAAAAGACGCCCGTGTCTCTTTGTTGAAACATGAAAAGAGAAACAAGAGAGAGTTAACATTCAACGTCGGTGTTGATCTAGCATTATGTAGCACGTCGTCACCGCAAAGACAAAGGAACAGAGTGGAGTGATTGTTATGGAGAGATAGTCCTCAACGGGCCCCTACTACAGGTGGCCAAGGTCACGCGCAAGTACGCACACGCGCCTGGAGTTGAGTGGAACAGCGGCAGCGGTGCATTCGTCTGTGAACGAGTGGGGCTGAGAGTTGAGTCCGCAGTTGATTCGAAGTTCGTAGAACCCCACTCAAAATGGTCTTGCAAACCGTGCCACGATCTATTTGGGGATCACCAAACATCATGGGGTACATCATATCCATTTCAAATCTTCTGCCGAGAACCGCCGAGAAAACGGCTGCGGGTTCTCTCTAAGGATGACCGAGACTTGTCGGGGGTCGGGCGCCAGATGTTGGGTTCGACCGGTTCGTTCCGTTTTTGGGGAGGGCTGTGAACCTCTCAACGTTCCAGCCTAGCTGCGGGCCAGCTGGACGTCTTGAAATGTGGAAGATCGAAACCGGCGAAAAGGCGGCGGTTTAGGGAGGCGGTGTGCACATCGGGAGCAGCTGGGAGCAGCAGAAGCAACTGGAAAGCACTATGAATACGATTCTATGATTCTATAGGGATTGTATATACGCCAGAAGCAAAAGCAGCATGATTATTCGGCTTTTGATACAAAACACACCTGAGGAGTGCCATAAATCCTGAAACATGTCTACAGAAGCTGTCCGACCCAAAGCATTTTGGTCTAGTTTCAATGGTCTTTCCAGTCCCCGGAGGAACTGCAGTTCTCCCGGACCCTCCTGAAGCATTCAAGGCGAGTGTTTTCTGTTTGAACACCATGTCCATGTCCAGCATGTTCAGTACGTGGGTCGTGGGTGGGTCCCCCGGGTGGTTCCCACTACTAGCATGCCCCCAGACATGGTGAACCTACGGTGAAAGGAGCTCCAGGTGCCATGCCCGACTGCCATATCTTATTATCTTCATCACAGGATCTGTTCATCGTGGCTTCGGGAGCGAAGCCACGTCGCCTACATGAAGGGGAAGAGATTTCACTGTTTTTTTTCCCACTGGCCAGTCACTCATTTTTGTTTTGCACATTGATCCCACTTGATATGAGCCACTAATTGTATGTATTCATTGTGCATTCCCATATGATAACCATAGTAACTAGCCCCCAAAGTCCAAAGACCTAACTAAGGGGACCTTATTGGTACAAATGCTACAAAGTATATAGGGTCCTGGACTTGCAGGGTAGTAGAATCTTATTGAACCACTCCCATCTTCGTTCAGAAGCTCCTGGATCGGACGAACCCAGACCACATGGGATGAACCGATGGGCTCGATGGCGGAGACCACAATGGGATGCACAGCATCCAGCCAGTGCTTTTCGTCCAGTTCTTTTCTATGGAACGTTGAGCATCCCAGTTGGTAGCTTCGAAATCCAGTCAGGCAGGACAGGGATGAGAACCAAATGGTTTCCGATACCACATCCGCAACATGCTTCTCATCCATCTCCGATCACTTCAAGGAAGGCCTTTCATGACTTGATCCGCCATCCTCACAAATCCTCACCAATTCCTCACCGCCGGGATTCGATCCGTTTAAAAAAAAACACGTCGAGATGAGAAGTTCTCGCGAAAAGACAAGGAGTGCCTTCCACCTCTTTCACCATCTTGGCGAACTCCTGAGAGGCTGCATCGGCGCCGGTTAGCCAGGGCGATACCAAGTATAGTCGGACTACTAAATTACGATATAAATGACGTCGTGTTGTTTTTTCTGCTACTGCTGTGGAAAATGATGATCTTTTTTTCTGTATTTGGGGCTGGTCTGTCAAATTGTGTGAGTTCTTTTGGGATCTTTTGGCCCTGCCCTTCCAACGTCGAAGTTTTACTTCAACATGGGGAAATGTCGATGTATTACTTTGAAGCAAAGCTTACGTTGATGTTTTACTTTTTAACATGTGGCAGGAAGAACGGATCTGTTGGGCTCTCACATCACGCATTGAAGCGAAGCTTCCACATTGAAAGGCAGGTGAATCACAGTGGAAGCCTTCAGAGCGGCAGAAATGTCTTAGCAAGATAGGACAGTCTTGGACTAAAACTATGGTTTCCTGCGTGGATCCTTTTTTTGGGGGGAAGAACTTCACGCGATTTCATGCGGATCTCACGGTAAAACATGGAATCTAATAGGTAAAACATACACATTCACGCCAATGTCACGGGTAGTTCACGCAACTTCACGGAAGGGAGTTCCACCCGGATCTTCTCAAAGGAATCTTCTAGAAGATCCTAAAACTTCACCCCCAGTTCATGAGTATAGACCTCATGATACCTCAGGGATTCATATGATTCTATGCTCATGTCTGGAAATTATTGTGAAACAATTTTCTCCATGGATCCAATCGTAATGTTTAAGTTACGTCGATGTTTCACCTGGTAAAACATCTACCTTATCCACGTCGAAGTTAAACTTCTACGTACATTGAAGGCCAGGGTTGGGGGATGCAATCTACGCTGGAGTGGATCATGGTAGGCACTCTGCCATTTGCGACTTTAGATGTGGTTCACTTAGCTGCCAGGCATTGCATCACCCGACTAGATAGAACTCGTCTTCACACCCAGCAACAGCAGCCATGGCTGCGCTGCGCTGCCCCACAAGACGCTCCTCTTGTTTCTGTTCCAAGCGCTTGGTGAGGGCTTGTCCTGCCGTCGAGCCGAGGAGAATCTGCCCCAATGCTCCCAACTCAACAGGCCGACCAGGGGATTGGTGAGAAGGTCCCAAACCCCCTCCGATTCGGGTCCGGCCCCTACTGAACGGAGTGGACCCGGGTGCGGTCGTGGAGTCGTTTTGGGGGGGAACCTGTCGGAAACCGTAACCGCTGACTGGAGAGCTTTGGGTCTGGATGACACCACAGGGTGTAGGTGGAGTTTCTTGCGATGATGGGACCACAAGCAACTCGATCCTGGGTGAGGAGTCCCAGGCTGGTGGAGACCCCAAACATGGTGTTTACCTGTCTAAGGTCTAGAGGTGTAGAAGCAGAAGGTCTAGACTCTAGAGATCTGGACGTATTGAGTTTCAGAGAGAGATGATGGTGGTGATTGAAGTGGAGATCGCGGTGATGGTGTTGGTGTTGAGGTGTCGCAGAGGATGCTTGTCGGTTTGAGCTATGCCTGTACCATTTACAGGAATGGGTGAGAAAGAAACCCACAAGACCAAATGCCAAGGTGTGGGGATCCGCAGCCTGGCATGTGCATGAAATTCTTGGACAGTTGCCACTTGTGAATGTCTGGTTTCTTTTGCGAAGCTGGATCCAGGAAAAGTTCAACCGCTGAAAATCGATCCAGTCTTCATTGCACCATCCCCCCGCAAAAAAAGAGAACGCTCTTGAATGGAATCTTGTTGATTCAGCCTGCACCGTATCATAAGAAACACATCGAAACATCTTCCCCATGCCAGGATATAGGGAACCCCCAAACCCTCCGATCCGTTGTTTTGCCGGATACTGTATCCAACTGAAACCCCTCGGTCGAACTGGGGACTCACAAACCGACGGTGAACGGGCCTTGAAGCTTGGAGGCCAATGCATCGCCCTGGCTGTCGGAAAGCAGTGGGGTCGATCATGTTGGTCAGCTCGATGGTTTTGACCCCACTGGATGTTTCTTTGAGAACATGGACCCAACAAAACCACGGACTGGTGCCAGGACCAAACTCGGAAAACACTCGAACTGTTCGGAAAACCCAGGACGTCAGGGCTCAAGTTTTCACATTGTCTATTCATCCAAAGTCCTCTGGAAAAGCAAAGCTGTCCTGGACCCGGGGAAGATTTTTAAAGTCAATTGAGGGTTCAGGGGTTGCATTTGTTGGTTGCCTAAGGGCAGAGCAGCAGGTCTGATGTTTGATGACTGCAGGTGTAATGTTTTTTCACTTGCGATGACGCCTACCTATTTGCCGATCACTTGCGACACAAGTGATAAGCATCACCAGTATCACTGGTGGGGTGGGGTGCGGGGTGGTGAATTTCGATCCTCACAACTGCGCGTATGTTGGTGTGTCACGTTTGCGGAAGGGGAAAGGCTCAACTATACCACTTCCCCGTTAGGACTTGAACGGCTCAGTCTTCCCAAGTGGTTATATATACCAAAAGCAGTCGACGAGGGATTTGAGCCAAGAGTTCTGACGTGGTATATACCTTTCTTTCCACTTCAGTGCAAACCTCGTATGTTGAACCCTGCGTCCGAATCGTTTCCATGTCCGAATACTTATAATAAAAGAATCACTCTGGAAGAGCAATACGGGAACACGGGAACTCTGCGTTAGGTCTTAGGCCTTGTGGTTCTATATTCAATACTCGTTCCGTACCGTAGACCTCAAACCTAACTTCAACTCCCTTATATATAAGGCTCTATATGTCCACTTCCACGTGTTTCGTGTTTCAGTCTGTCAAACAGAACGGAACTCATTTGGATCACATCTCGCACGGGATGGTCACCCATCTCTGTTAGTAAAGCCGCTGAAAGAACGCACAGGTAGTGTTCTGCCTGGGGCGTGGATCGAAATCAACATGGAGAAACTGCTTTCCCAAAGCCATCCGCAGCCATCCGTTGGCAACAGCCATCCGTTTGGCAACCGCTATCTATCTCTTAGCCAATCCTTTCCTTGTGCCGGTCAGTGCCCGTGCCCGTTCTGGTGAAGCTCTGTGTTTTGGTGTGGGCTTCCACTGACTTCCCATGTACAAAGAACACCCAATACCATGACCATGTTTCACTGTCATTTGTAATATCCTATTGTGGTCTCTTTATCTGTTCCCCTGTATGGTCAACAACCAGACTCATGTGCATTTTCCCATGGGGCAGACGAAGTGTTGGTCATTCGAAATGGCCAGCCCAATGCTGTCTTCGCCTGATTTCCACGGCCTTCGAGCCTTCGCACCGTGACGTCCAGGTTTTTCTTTGAAGCCAAAAGCAACACCACCCCCAGGTGGTCCACACTCGTTTGAGAGGTGGAAGATAGGCATCTGTATCTAACTCTCCATCTAACGATCTAACGCATCAAAAACGCATGGCATCTGCTGGTGGAATGAGGTTGGCGGATGGTGAAACGAAGAACTGTCCAGTGGGGTCGACTCTCCGCAGGTCCATTGCCTTTTGAGCTCGCGAAAATGCTTGGTGTTCGAAAGCTTCCGATTGCAATCACTTAGAAAACAACATATCCTTCATGGTGGTGATCCCTGCAGAAACTATCTGGGGTTCAGATGGGTCCAGGATCTGACTTGGTCTTTTCTCACTTCGCTCCAACCCTCGCCCCCTTCGCTCCACGCAGTGCGTCCCTGCACCTTCCCGTCGGCGGAGATCATCTGAAGCAGCGAATCGGTCGATCCGCGGTTCCAGGTGGCGAAGACGATGCCTATACCCTGGGAGTCCAGTCGACTATAAAAAGAATGGTCTTTAGGGGAACTGAGTTCGGGAACTTCCTTTACCTCAGCCGGTCAAAATATAGTCGAACTGGACTTCTAGGGTATATAGTTTGGGTCTATCCGAGTCTACCTGGTTGCCAGTGGATGATGATGGTTCAGTTGCAGGCCGACAGTTCAAAAATAGGAATTGTTGACTGACGTCTTACAGAATGGACAGACCCAACCTCCAGTGGTGGGTGTGCCAATTTCGGAAGATCCCTGGCCCAAAGGGTGTTGGTCTGTTCGTTGCCTGGGGGGTCTCCCTATTGAAAAATACACACCCATATATATGTACACTCTGCACCAACATGAAATGGGAAATGAGGCAACATGGCTCTCTTGAAGCTCCTTTTTTGCAGCCATTGTCCAATGAAATGTTTGATTCGGAGAGTAATTACCAGCAAGTGCGGCCCCTGCATGCTGGCCTTTTTCACACATCGAATTGCCGCATGAATTACACCAAACCTCGAAATCTACAGGATGTTGGCAATACTACAAACATCTATAAACACTTGCACCACGTGCAAATCCACAGGATGTCGGTCATACATGGCAATACCAACACTTGCACCCGGCATCGACAAAAGATTTCGATGGAGTGAAGAGCCAAGAGAGGTTAAGTGACCTTATAGGACTCTATACCAGGGTACCTATGGGATAGTCTACAGGGTCATTCAACCTGTGTTGGAGTGAAGGGACTCCGGCGTTCCCTTCGCCGAACTCGCCGTTTCCCTTTCGGCCGGTCTGCCGGCCTTGGAACCTCTCAGTGTGGCCCTTTTGCCCTTGGGCGCCTCCCACGAACGGACCGGGCGAAAGGGGTGGAAGCTGGAAGCAGAAAGGACGAGCCAAAGGCTAGGGATGATTCTTTCTTTCCACAGCTACTTCCCACTAGGCTAAGCTTGGGCCCTCTGGGGATGATTGAAGACATGAAATCATGAGATAGTCAGAGGATGTCAGATAGTCAAAAGACCGTCTCCAGCACCAGAGTCTTTCTATGTCGTTCTCGGTGGTTGTTGTCTGAGTTAGAGGGCGAAATCGCACAAGAAAGACGGATTGACATTCAATCACGAGAAACTCCTAGGCCAAAGAGTGATGTATACCGGCTGACATCCCTGAAAGGACTTAGCAAAAATGATTCAGCTTCAAGTAAGAACTTAGGCTTCCTTCTGAAATCGTCTGAAATCATGTTGATTAATCTATTGTTTTCCCCAATGTATTTGTTTGGCAAGGCATTCGACCAAACAAATACATTGATTGGGTGCGGCGCAGTATAATCAAAAAACACAATACCAAACTATGATTCATGAACCTCGGCGTTTGTGTATTCTTTCTATACTTGCAAATGCTTGAGCTGTCACCAAATACTTAAATTAATTGTTTTTGCAATACTGGACACAATGGAGGGCGTATGCGGAATCAGGGTCATGCAAAAACTATGCTGCGAAGATACTGTACCAGTTGGCGTATCCCAAGGTCCTTCTGTTTGTGAAATACTGCCGGAAAGCTGAACGTTCGTATCGAACGTTGAAAAACCACTCCAAACCTGTTCGTTGCGAAACCACAAACCCACGCACGACCCGGCGCGTCTCCACCGCACCTGTGCCCGACGTGATCCAGATCCCACGAAGTTCTCCAAAGCCTCGAGCAAGATGATTCGGACGTGACGGGGACTGGGTTTAAGGCAGTTTGGCATGGGTTTTGCCAGGGCAGAGATGTTCTGCATTTGGCATGACCTGCGGAGCAAGAGACGTTGGAACAAGCTTTTGGAAAGATGTTGCTATTTCTTGCCAGTCAGTTCCGGCCCATGGCTGCACATGAAGTGCTGATGGCTCCGAAGGTTCACATAGCCTGCGAACGCACCATGCTGTCCCTCTTCCATCACGCACTCTCGCCGCCAGGCGCGAGCGAACGGCGCCGGTTTTCGCCGCGCCGCGGGGCGGTACCGGCGCCTGCGTGAAGGAATCTGCAGCCTCCAGCTGTGGGCTCCAGTGCGGGGGTAGTTACGGAGTTGCTGCCAATATCTGACAACAACCTTAGCCCAAAGTATGAATTGACATGTTTATCAATTTTTCCCTGTTATTGGCCAGTGGAACACTAAGTACCCCAACCCGAACGGCACATTTCCATCACGAGTTGCTTCTTCTTAGGCTTGACGGTTTTCTGGCCCTGTCGGTGGCTGCCGGTTTTTGCATCACACACCAGAAGACGGCTGTAAACTCGACCACTTTGCGAAGGGTCCCCACAAACACAAACCTAGACCTACCTACCAGCACCTTCCAACAGGTGGTTTTGGGACACCTCTTAACCTCTAAGAGGCTATTTATAGACACCTCTTGGAAGGTCCTGGTATAAACTAAAAACATCTAAAAACCCATTTGACCCTTGCTTTGATAGGAACAAACTATGCTTTGGCTAAAAGAAACGGGGTCACTCAGGTTCCAGGTCTAGCAGGCGAGAAATGCCTCTGGAACGTTGTTGGAGCGGGGGGTAAGTTTGGTCAAACGACGTTCCAGATTCACTGGGCTGTGGCACAACATTCCCGGCAAATAGATTAAATAGAAAACAAGCATCAAGCAAAACATATAAACAACAACAAAGAACAGGTTTAAAAACATGGGTTCTATTGTGTTCTAATTTATTGTGTGCATGTAATTTCTTTATCTATATCCCCTAGCAAGTACCTGGTACCTCAAAATGTGCGCACTTGAGTCTGACAACTGGGCAGGTGCGAATCTATCAGGTACATAAGTGGACTGGGGACTTTGTGCAAATTACAGTAATTAATAGTGAAAGGGGAATATGGATACCTGCGGCTCCTTAGCTCCCTCCTAAGCACCAGCTGGATATACAGTGGTTTTATATATAGATGGCACATGTCTTCTAGAGTGGTGTAAAAACCCACCTTTTGGGGTTTGCGGCATGTACGTACAGTACAGTACGCTCGTTTCGCACTTCGGCCATTCCGCGGTCCCCCACACCTCCTGCGCTTCCTCGCCAACAAATGCTTCGGCACCGTGTTCCAAAAGCCTTGGTTGCTTGAAAAACCGACAAAGAAACTCACAAAACAACCAGGCAGCTGCATGTAAATTGGGAGGTATGTATCCTTCGCTACAGACCCTATTCCGGCATCTATAACACTTCTGTTGCCCATGATTGTGCTGCACTATGCATGGAGACTACCATTCCCACAATCCCTACGAAGAACCAGTCTGACTAAGCTTAAAAATGGCATATTAGGTTTTAGCCGATGCTCAGGTTAATTTCCACCGAGGATCTTCCCGGCTGCCTTCTCAAGCCCCTGCTTGGCTGTACCCCTCAACCTCAAACGCATCGGCTCGACAAAAATCGCATGCGCACAGAACTGCATAAAGGGATCTGCAGTTGAAGAGTAACATCCTGTCGATCATCCCCTTGCGGGGTCCAATTTAGTTTTTACTTTATACAGAACCGCTGCTTGACCTAGATACTGTGCACCTATGAAAAAATATGATGTTTGGCGTGAATATTCATTGTCCACAAGTGAATCTGCCAGGGAATGCGCCGCTAAAGGTCACAAGCACATTGGATGAACCAGCTGCCTGCACTGCCCAGCACTACCTCGCAGCAGTAGTGCAAAGTTCGCTGCCACTTCTTCTGTGAGCAACCTTGAATCAACAGTGGTTTTGGCCAAAGTCCATGTGCCGCTTCGCTTCGCGGATCCTCTTCGTTTCCCTTCGTTTCGCTTTCGGGAAAACACCTCTTTGTCGCTGAAGTTCTGCGCAGAGGGCAGGGGTCCCGACGGGCGTGGGCGCTTTTTTGGAGGTCAACGCCGGCGCCATGCTCTGAGCGTGGAGTTCCCCGGTCAGTCGTCGGGTACATCCAGGCCAGGCGATGCACAGGGTCCGATGCCCGTCCCGATACCCATCTCAGTAGTGTCGACGGTCGATCATGGTCAACGTCTGGCGGCGCTTCTGCATGCTGAAACTGTCCAAGAAAGCGAAACTGTCCAAGAGTCCCATTGGACAACCCAGCGTTGCTGTTGAGAAGAGCGCACATGCAAGCGTGAGAGTTCTCTGCCTCCTGAACGCCTTCTTTCAGAGGCTCCACTTTCACAGCCAGACCTTCACTGAGTTTGTGTGAGTGCCTCTTTTAGGGCCGCCGGCTTTCTTAAGGAACATGTTTATGTTTAAAAAACATGTGCTCTTGCTGTGGATTCCTTCACTCCCGTTCCTTCTTCCAAATTGACCGGGGAAGTCTCCAAAACGAGCATTTCATCCAAGACTTCCGCCAAAAGCGACACAGGAAGTCTTCAAACGAGGGCTTCGTGCGAGACTTCTGCCAAAGGTGACTGCCTTGAAGTGAAATAGATTTGTTCCAGAGCTGTAAGGATTATGTGCTGCATTGGCCAGGGCACGCAGCACAGATTGAGAATCTCGCAGTCCACCTGGATACCTGGCAACTGTACATCTTTACGGGAAAGACAAGAGCCTCAGCAGTCGCCCACGAAGCAAACAGACTCAAAAGTTGGCTACCTACAGCAGCACAGTGCTCACCACACTGGCAGATTGCACATAAAAGCCACGAAAAGCCAACAGAAGCCACGCCAACAGAGGCCACCCAAAGTCAACAGAAGCCAGCAAAAGCCGCGAAAGCCGACAGAAGCCAATCAAATGTCAACAAAAGCTAACAAACACCAATCAAATGTCATCAGAAGCCACCAAAAGCATGGAAAAGAATCCTTAATTGAACCAAACTCATCAACAAAAATACGAGTTCCCTCCTTTGGACCCATGGACTCAGGCTGTGTAGGATCTTCCTGTGTCTACTTCCAGGCTTTACGGTGTCTGACACCTTTTGCTGGAAGACGGGTCCACAGTTCCGACTGACTCAGAGCTCTGCGCACAGAGATTTCTCTCCACCCG